TAAAGGAAAGTTCAACTGAGAGAAAAAGCTAGGAATCCTAAGTAGCGCGTGTTTGCCTTTCGGGTATGTCTCTCCAAGCTGCCGTTACGCTCAGCCATATTATTACGTGCCTTTTGATATTTCGCCAGCTAGTTCAGATTACGGGCCAACTACTTTAGAATTGTGTTAGCTTTGCCTACATCTCTTAGTTAGATATAGTAAGTTATTATTTCTTACTTTTGAGTTTAAGCCCAAAGAAATTGGCTGACTGTTAATCTTATTTTGAGTGAATTTGAGTTCGTTGGCCTTTCTAATGTTAATTCCATTTCTTCTGCATTCAACTATCTAAAAGTTTCACATATCTGGCATTTCAAGCTTTTACCGTTTGTGTATGTATACATAAAATGAAGGTGTGAAATATAAAAAATTTAATGAAGTAATTTCCAGACCAACGATCTCCAAGCGTTTTTGATTGTTTATCCCTTATGTGAATGGAAAACAGTTTTGTATTTTGAAGACACACTTTCTCAGTTTGAAAGCTACTATATTATGATGTGTTGTTTAGGATGCCTTTGAGATACAATGTGTCAAAAATAAATCCTTGCTAGTTGAATTGGGGTATAGACTTCGATTTATATAGAAACTAATCTACTTTGCACAGAAAATGCTCGACAGAAAAATAAGTAAGTGTATGCTGAAGAATTAACTGGCAAGCTCAGCTAAAATAAAATTAAAAATAAGAGAAAATATTTTATCTTGACATGCTGAAACTGCATTTAAATCCAAATAAAAGTAAAAGCAAAAGTTTTCACAGATGACCCGTCTGCTTTGTCAGCTGAAGCAAATGTCAATAAAGGTTAAAAAGAAGGTCTCTGTTGCAATATGGTCTAGTGACTATTTCAAATACTTCTCTAATTTTAAGGCCAGACAAAACCAAAATCATCACCAAAACCCAGGACAAAACCAGTCTTAAAATTAGAAAAGTGCTTAAAATGGTCACTAAATTGTTTGTAATAAAGTCTTTGCCTTTAACCATCCATACCAATGAACATCCATTCTGAGTACAGCTACATGATTCAACATGCTGGAGAGCTATGCTGATTTTTGATGAGTCAGTTTTCATTTATTGTACACGAGAAGGTACATTAGCATAAGAATCGCATTCTTAGCCTTATTATTTAATCCTTTGATGCTTGTTTTGAGGGGAAAAATCCTTAATTTTGTTAACATAATTAAAACTTGAAAATTTCTTGGTTTGAAATGAAAGATTTGAATATTTTAGATTTGACAGGAAAATTATTATCTCCTGATTAAGCAATTGTGACAAATTTATGAAAATGTTTAGCTGATTTCTGAGCAGCAAAATTTTAAAGCCAGGTAATTCACATTAGGATATGAGTGCTAAGGTTTAATTCTAATAATGCAAAGGCTTTAAGTTATCCACCTAAAGAGATCCAAATTCATAGAGATTATCAAAAGGAAACTACTGTCTCAAACTCATGTAATGCAAGAAAATTTAGAAAATGCTCATGCAATCTGACTACAGAGATACAGTATCATAATCTTATAACAATCTTAATTGAATATGTTTACAATTTTTTCATTAATTAGTTAATTGTAAAATTTTTGTTTGCTTTTTGTTCAGCATAAACTTCTTCGTAATTTTACTTAGTTTCTCTTTTCACTGAAAACAGAAGGTAATTATACTTTTGGAGCATTTCCATGAATAGATAATAGATATAAATTATAACTACCAAGTTTGATTTAAAAGAATGCAGAATTTAAAATGCTATAAAAATACTGTACAGAACACTTCTTTTCCATGAAGAAGACGGATCTTTCTAAAGACATAAAGTTTCACAAAACTAATATCAGTTTTAGTTGAATTTCACTTATAACCTGAAATCTGCATGCTCTTCCTTGCAATATAGCTTAATAATTTGTTCTGGTAAAACCATTTCTTTTTTAAATAGCACAGTAGTGTTCACATTTGAACTATTCATGTAATCATTTTTAACTACAACCTTTCCATCACTCAATACTTCACTGAGAATGCATTTCCTTAGCATCAAGTTATGAAATGCTAAAAAACAGCAAAAAACAATACATTCAAAGTGCCACCAGATACCCACACAATTATATTCTGAACTCAGTCAGTCAATGCAATCCATCAGTGAGGGTGCATCAAGGCAAGGTGAAAAATGGCTACCATGAAAGAATATACATTAGAGAAAGCATATTTGTGTTAATAATCTATTTCTAGAAGTATGGGGAATGTATCATACAAAGATGCAATATTGCAGTTCATCTAAAACATCAATGCCTAGTACTTCACTGCATAAGTCACGAATTAGGGCACCAGCAATCCAAGACTTAAATTGTAGCAGAGATGTATTTAAGAAAGCCACACTATGAACCAAATGTAGGAGGGAATATCTTCATGACTTAATACACTTTTTGATGACATGAGTTCTCTGCTCAAGATCAAAGTTGTTTGAGTCTATACCTCTATACTGTTTGTTTGTATTTTACAGCATAGGATTACAGTTTAAGCATTAAAAAAAATTATAAATAATGACGAACGGACCATGTGTTACACTGAGGTTACATTTCTTGCTGCACTGGCATATGGTGACTTCAATATACAATATGCAACATTTCTGGAAGGAAACACCAATGTTCACGGCAGCTTAATTCATAGCTTTTTTCTACATTTTTAATATTCCAGGAATGTCATCTCCAAAGGTCCAATTTTTTCCTCTGGCATTATTCAACAAAAAACGATAAAATTGCCATGCTACTATGCTACTCAAACTACTTAGCATAAAAACACCATTTCAGCTGTGCTCAATAACAAGAACAGTTCTTTCCCTATGCTACATGGTACAATTTGCTTACAATGTAGCAGGGATTGGACCCTGACACATTGATGGGATAAATCTCAACACAGCGGTTATGCAAAAAAATAAAATGAAACTTGTTGCTATATAAATTGCAATTTTTTCCCCCAGTAGCATTTTTAACTTATTCACCGAGTGGCTTTATGAACAAAACTTAAATTTTAAAACTTTCATGAGCTAAATATAAACCTCTGCCTCAAGGTCCTTAACAAAAATCAAATACTCAGAGTAACATTTAAAATTCCTTAAAAACAAAATAAAGGATTAATTAAAGAAGGGTGAAAATGGATTCTACAGGGTTTTATACTATTCTGGCACGAGATAAACACACAGCCTTTCCTAACCTGATAATATCATTTGGCAAAGTTTAGTATAATTAAAGGCATTTGGCACCTTAACACATTTAATCACTTAAACCTCTTTAGATGGTCATTTTGTTTTGAGAAGAAAAGGCAAGAATAATAATTTTCTCAAATGGATACAACTAAATTTTGAAAATAAAAATTTGAATATTTCTTGGTCCAATAAAGACAATTTTAATATACCTTGCATTAGCAGCTTCAGAAGGTTTATAAGCTGTAGAAACAATAAGAAGCCATTGGATTACTCTTTCAATTGTACCTATCAGGTCATCCATAAGGAATATTGTTTTATATAAGGAATATTTTTTTACATAAGGAATATTGTTTACATGGTCTAACAAGCTTAAACAAGTGATTTAAATACTAATGAGCAAACACGGCTTCATTCAGATATATTCTGACATGAAGCCATGCAGGTACTAATTTGTCGCTTCAATAGCCTCTCATGAAAATGGTGTTAACAGAAAGGCACACTAGACACATCAAGCTATAAGAGTTTAAAATATAAATATAAACTAGAAATAGTACAGCAAATGCTCTAGAAATTGCAGAGGAATTGCATGGTAAATGAGTCTGAATAATATCAAAATGTCTTAAATTATAAAAATACATTAAAAAATTGACATTAAGATAACAAAAGTGTAATAAGCTTGCAATTTCCTTCATTAACCCTTTCAGGACAAATGCCGCAAATATGCTTCAGAGCCTAATGCAGCATCCTTGCATTACGGCGAATACTACACAGTGGGACGATTGCCGCACAGTTGCGACATGCTTTTGGAATGAAATATTTACTAACAGATGGCGTTACTAATCCACGTTCCATTCAAAAGATTGCTCTCGTACATTAGTGTTTCTCTTTCGCAGGTCATAATGGGGTTGCCAAACGTCTGTGATTTATTGGATTTTCGTGAATGTAAACATAAACGCATGTTAGCAGATGAAAAGGGAAGCACGTGGCCTTTAGCTCATTTTGAAGTTGTTGTTTATAGTTTCGATTCTATTTTAGGATTGGATTTTATGGGAGAAATTCTAGCATGAGTTTTACTTTTAGATTCATCTGTGTAGCCATGGCTAAGAGACCACGTTATCTTACTGAGTAGAAAATATCTAAAGTTATGAATGATCCATCTATGGATCTTTCCGACGATGACAGTGAAACAACTATAAATTATTGGAGTTCTTCATACAGTAGTTCTGAATCTTCAGATTCTGAATTAGAAGATGATAATAGGCATGCATGATTGAAATTATACATGATAATAATGCAATGTCAGTCTCTGCACTAACCTATGCTTCGAGATTTCTCATACAGCTCTGAAATATTCATTATTACAATATTCTTCAAGTATTTCATAATGTTAAGTATATTTAAAATTTTTTTTATATTTTGTATCAACATTTAGTGCTTAATTTAGGTACTTTTAGTTATAGTAAAATACAATATATTTATATTGTTAAATATCGATTATTTTAATTAAATTTTTTTGTTACGATTCAAATTATATCTTTAATCACATATTTAAAAATGGTTTCATTTCTATGTAAAGTGTACATTTTATCCATTATTGTGTTATGCATACTTTCCGAAATTGCATATTAGGCTTAGCAGGAGAAAATGCAGCGACCAGTAAGCACAGTTTGCGTGTAACAGCTCCCATCCTGAGAGAGTGATATCTTCCACATGCTGCCATCCCTAACGAGTTAAAAATAAATTAATTTTTAATTTCAGATATTATATCTAAATTTAAAATATTACCTTCTAAACTTTCTCGTGTATCAGCATTTTCTTTCTTTGCTTCATCTTTCAAAAACTGTATAACAGATAGAATCAATTTCATATTCCGCATCTATAAAAAAAGGAAAAAGTTTGCTACATATTTACTCTGCTTATTAAGTTCTAAGAACATAACATTTGAGAAGTTAAAATTCGTTTCTCCCTTTTTTAATACAGTATTCTATTTTCAGTCAATAAATATTTTTTCATTATCATGCCGATTTTTGGCCCAATCTTACGTCTCTACCTGATACTTCAGGCTAAACTTCAGCAATTCCCTTTTGCCATACAAATGCATGTGTTACATTAAGAGATGAGTGATATGGATCTTAAGAGAGACATTCAACACAAAGTGAGCACTTCATAAATAAAATACTATTTCAAACACTGTAGCAAAACAAAAAAATAGGCTTAAAGTTTAAAAACATTAGAAGTTAAAATTAAGAATCTAATATCTTAAAATCAACATCCTCTGCACAGTTGTAAATGACTGTGCTAATTCTATTTCTGCTCACTTCCTAAACTAATTTAATAAACTTCGTGGCATACAAGTTTTTTCCAAACTCCGCATAATTATGCATGAAAATCTAGGTTCGAATTCTAACTAATATTAATATTTTAGCTCACTACTCCATAAAGTTCCCTCGTGGCTCAGCAGTGAAGTACTATTACAGATCAGGCAGTCTCAGTTTAAACCCTGCCATCAACAGCATTGTTTTTTAAGTGCATTAATCATTTAATTTCAAAAGACAATTTATTTATGAAAAATATTTTTGAGGACCAATGCAAAAAATAATACACTACAAAATTTTCATAAAATATATTTAATTTCAACTTGCTCTATTTTGACACCTTTTTTTACAGTTAAGATGATATATGTCACAAAGAGATTGAAAACAATGTATATCAGCACTTAATAACTGCTTATTGCAATTAGAATTGTTTCTGAACATTTTAAGATTTTAAAGAAAAAGCACACTTTACTAACGTTTATGAAAGTTATTCCACATGTCAAAAATGTTCATTTGAAGCATGAAGTACATACCAAAATTAATTACGGAGGGCAATCTAACTTGAAGGAATGCAGACAGTAATAATATATAGAGAAAGCAGCATTTCTTCCCCCCCTCCCTTCTATATTCTCACCTAGTTCGGACCACAGCTACATGAATATGCTTTAATCATGAATTTTAAAAAGTCTAGTTTTCAGATTCACCCATGTGGTGACAGGGTGTGAAAAAACAAGGACCCAATGTAGTCCATGTGTGTTACATGGGGCGATTAAAATGGATACCCAGTGCCTGGAGGTATAGCTGGGTACCCCTGTCCCCTGGGGATTTATAAATATGTAGGCCTGGTTCTCCAGGCTGAGGGTTGGGCTACAGGATAGCACTAACAATCCTACCCTGTAAAAATTCCATTATTATGAAATGTTAAGAGCAATATAACACAGGCCTGACTTCAAGGAGACGAACTAGAAAGGGCTCAAAGGATTTGAGAATTGGATCATGGAACGTTTGTTCTTTATATAGAAATAAAGGACTACAAATGGTTATTGAGCAGTCTGATGATTATAGAATTGATATTTTAGCTATACAGGAAGTTAGATGGATAGGAGAGGGAATAAATGAAAAGGAAAATCATACAATGATCTATAGCTGTGATAAAAAGAAACCCATGTTTGATACCGATTTTATATTGAACGAGAGAGTTAAACCAATATAACTGACCAATAAAACTAGTTACACCAATAAATTCAATAATTAATTCATTTTATGACCAAGTCACCTAGGCTTTGTAAAATAAGAATAAAATGAGCCTTTTTCATTACAGTTTGACTTATTTACATGCCCGATGGCGGACAAGGACTACCTAGAAAAGGAGCTTTTCTATAATGATTCTGAATGAGTTACTAAAAAATGGTGGAATAGAAGTTACTAAATAATTATATGGTTTATAGAGGCAATATCGGATAGGAAATGATACCCAAGGAATAGAAATTGAGTGTAACTTACATAATACACTAGAAAGGAGATACATTTGAATGTTCTAATTACAGAAGAATCAGTTTGCTATATACAAGTTATAAGGTATTCTCAAACATTCCATTCAATAGACTCTCTGTACATAAGGAAAGAACAACTGGAGATTATCAAAGTGGCTTTAAGAAAGGGAAGATCTACCATAGAGCAATTATTCAACAAATTATGGAGAAGAAAAAAGAATTTGGAATTGATATTCACCCTTTTTATTGATTTCAAAACCGCCTATGATAGTACTAATAAAAAAAGCTCTCACTGCAGTGTTAAGGGAGTTAAATATCAAAAAAATTATTAAAGCTAATCACCCTGACACTAGATGAAACTAAAATCATGGTAAAAATACAGAATGAACTATCAAAGCCAACTGAAATTAAAAATGGCATTAGATAGGGTGATCCACTGGCATGCCTTCTCTTCAATTTGGCACTAGAAAAAGTAATAAGGGATTTAAACATCAATACCACAGGAAACATTTTTAATAAACTGGCACAGTTACTAGATTTTGATAATGATATTATCATTATTGCTAGAACACCAGCAGCAAGAGATAGGCCTGAGAATTAATAAAAATAAAACAAAATATATGCCATGCACTAAAACAGACTTCAAGGACACCCACTTAGAAATTGGAGAACATAAATTTGAACCCGCTGAGAGCTTCACATACTTAGGCTCTCAAATTAACAACAGGAACAATATTACTACAAAAATACAAAAGAGAATAACTGCAGCCAATAGATGCTTTAATGGAACATGAAAATATATGAAATTAAGTGCAAGTCAAAGAAAGACAATGTTTTTACTGTACAAGGGCCTTATAAGACAAATTTTGATACAGTCAAAAGTCGTTAATTCGGACACCCATAATCCGGAATGATCTATAATCCGGACCTCAAAGCTACAAACTTTCTGCGCGTTGACGCATGCGCACAGGCGTTTATGACTGTGCATATGCGTGTGCGCATAATACGTTTACACATGCGTGTTTAATGCATAACGGACGGTATAAGCTAAAATTATCCAATTCATTTCCGACGCTTCCTCACGACCCGTCCGACCTGTTCAACGTCTTGTGCCCTATTGGGATACTTAGTCATAGAGCCAGCAACGTCGCAAGCTTTACAGCGACAGCCCGGCATAAGAGTATCAAAAAAAAATTATCTAATTATCTATTTCAGTTGATGTTGCAGATTCCGTTGTTCCTTAATCTTCGAACTGGATCCGGCTTATTATTTTTTGCAGACTGTTAGAGAATTTTATAAAGTAAGTTAACTTTCGATTTCAAACAGATTTCCGATACTGAGCTGCAAAGATCTACAAGGACGCATGTGTCGAGTCCATCAAACAAAATGGAATTGCTGCAAAAATGGATAGGGCATATCCTTTGTCTCTAACCATTCCAAAATCGGTTTATCATTTCAGTGCTCTGCGGGGGGGGGGGGGGAGCGCAATGAACTGGAATTGATTTCATCAGCACTATTATCTTCATGTCCAGATTTTATCGGCTTAAATTCCTTATTAAATGTAGTATTTCATCTCGATTTTCCCTTTGATTAAAATCAAATCCCGTCATTATAAATCCACGAACACATCAATAGTTTTGGTGGCAATTGCTAAGTGGCTATGCAAAATTATCTTTAGCAGCGCGGGTTGAGAGAATGTTTATTAAGTAAACATAAATATTAGATCTTTTTTTGTAAATTTTGATACCCTTAAATCATATCTTTTAATTCATAAATAACGGTTTATTTTTAATTTTATAATTTATACATGCATTTAGTAGATTTAAAATGATCTATAATCCGGAAAAATCAATAATCCGGAATCCCCGAAGTCCCGACGAGTCCGGATTAAAGACTTGACTGTATACGCTTTGTGAGACTAAAACCATGACACACACGAATGAGGTTATGTTGGGCATTTCTGAAAAGGACGTTTTGAGAAGTACTCTTGGAAGAATACAAAAAGATGTTGTGTGGTTTAGAAGATCAGAGCTATATCGCTCATATAATGAACCTAGCATCATTAATTTCATTAAATGCCAACGAATAAAATGGGCAGGCCAGGTTATCAGAAAAGATGAAGACTGTGCAACAAAAAAAAAAAAAAAAAAAGTCTTCAACGCCAGACCAAGAGGCACACAGAAAAAAGGCAGACCAAATCTAAGATGGTTAGACTACCTATAAAATGAGCTACTGGTCTTAAAAACCAAAAACAGAGAAATGATAGCAGGGAGAAAACTGGCCTGGAAATAGCTTCTTGAGAACGTCAGGGCCCACCCTGAGCTGTCAGGTCATTGAGGAAAGAACCCTGAGCAGTCAGGCCATTGAGGTAAGAAGGAAGTTTTCAGATTGTCTAAAAACAACTGCAAGAATGACAACCAAATACATACTAAAAAGTTAGTTTTCACGCTGTTCCTTTAAAATATTTCTCATATACTATTTTTCTTTTAATAACTTCTAAAAATAACAAAATACCAATAAAACACAAAATGGAACTATATTAGGATTCAAACTTAGGTCACCTGATCTTGATACCGTGAATGGGTAACAGAAGCTTTAACAATGTGAATTTTAATTAGAAGTGCTGCCTTGAAATTTTTTCTTAATTTTGACAAGTGCACTTTCTCACTTTACTTGCTATTTTATCGTATCTATATTATGTAGACAGTATGGAATTGGTGAATACAAGCCTGCACACAACCCTTATAAGAGGACGTTTAGATATGAGTTTAAAATAACATGCCGAATAAATATTAGGAGAGTTAAAGCAACAAGAAGTAAAAAGAAAAGTCAGCGATAAAAGGACAAAAATGAGAAGAAAGAATTCCAGCTTATGGTAGCATCTACTAATGAAAAATGAAAACAACTATGAAATAATTTCCTTAAAAACTAAGGCCAAAGAGGATTGGAATTGGGATCATTAATTAGAGCTGAAAGATATTTATAATGTGAAACACTTCTAGAAAATTTAACTCATCAACAGAAGATGTTCCTGGGGCTTGAGTGGCTACCAGGCACTTTGGCAAGTG